TTTAGTTATAGCAACTCAGGTACCATAGACTTCAAATCTTACTCAACAAGTATCAAAAGCTTTTCGATTGTTGTTATCTAATTTTCATAGACTTCAAAGCTACCCCAACAACATAGTTCAGTTTCCTATATCTAACCATGTGGATTGTTTTTATCTAATTTTCATAGTGTGAACACTACAGTTTGGGAGACTATTTTTTTGTGATTGGAACTAATATTGTGCATCTCCATTCCAATTTGAATGCATTTGGATTTTATTATAACATCTTCTTTATTATTCGTACTTTACTGTTTACTTTCCCATTTGATGTTTAGCTTTATTTTTATCTTCTTGCGAGTTATTTAAGTTCTATGCAGCTTTTAAGAATGAATTGTCTTATAATGTGGTTTTATGAATGATAGATGTCTAACAACCATGGAGAAAATGTCTGCACCAATGAAATGGAAACGTAAGAGGACGATGAACGTGATAGGTTATCCATGCTTATGTTGGTAGCTGCAACTCCATGTGTTGCAGCTGTGGCCTAGTATCATACAAGTTACATAGATAGAGAACCAAATGTGGATAGGGGCCTAGAAAGAAAAAATATATATAAATGGAATTAGTAACGCATCAGATGTACAATGTCAGAACCAATTGAGATTGAGCAAGCATGCATTTGTTTATCTTCATAACATCTTACGAGATAGAGGCATTCTACGTCCCACAAGAAGGGTGTCTATAGAAGAACAATTAGTAATATTTCTGCACACTCTTAGCCACAATGTTAATAATCAAGTTATCGGCAATCGATTTTCTCATTCCGACAAAACGGTTAGTCGACATTTCAACATTGTACTAACTACAGTAGTGAACCTCTACTCAGACTTTATGAAACAAGCTTAGCTTTGCAACTCATCCAGAGATACGCAACAACAATCATCGGGCCCTATATTTTAAGGTGATTACCTATCACAATCTCACATTATTTATGATGGATTATCTATTACAATCTCACTTTGTTTTCAAATATGTAGAGCTTGCTAGTATCATGCTTACTACCTTCTTTATGGTGAATTTAAATAGGACTGCATTGGTGCAATCGATGGGGCATACAAAGATTTTGCAACAGGAAGCAATTTATATCACAAAATGTTATGGCAGCAGTCTCTTTCGATATAAAATTCCAATACGTACTTGCTGGTTGAGAAGGATCGGCATCTGATGCATGAGAACTGCATTCTGTACTCAGTAGAGAAAATAGACTAGTTATTCCTAAGGGTAAGAGACAATACTAGAAATTAGAGATTATAAGTTTATATAAATCGATAACATGTTGCTTATTTCTCTATAGGGAAGTATTATATCATAGATGCTGGATACGCTAACACAACTAGTTTCCTCGCTCCATATCGCCGTACTGAGTACCACTTGAATGCTTTCAAGACTAGTTTTTCCCTTCAATCTGCTAGAGAATTATTCAACTTACGCTATTCATCGTTGAAGAATATTATAGAACGTGCTTTTGGAACGGTAAAGGGGTATTTCCCTATCCTCGAAATACCACCAATGCACAATGTTCAAATACAAGCTAAGATTATCATAGCTTGCTGTATTTTACATAACCTCATCTGGGAGGTAGAGGGCGATCAATTTGACATGGATAATATTGAGGAAATGGGGGGGCAAGATAAGGATGATAGCGAGGAAGAATTTGATATGGTATGAGGTAGGTCACAATTAGTAAGGGATGAGTGGAGAAGGAAAAGGGATGAACTAACTGAGCTGATATGGAATGACTATCGAGAGTAGTCATTTATTTTGTTTATGACATGTAAGTTTGAAGAATTGTATGAACGTAAACTTAAATATTCTGTATGAACGTAAACTTAAATATTCTTTCTTTTTAGAGATTGACTCACAAATGTTAAATAACAATGTTGAAATGTTATTTGTTTTTATGGATTGGCTCATAGTTTGATGTATGTACATTTTGTGTTTGATTCATAATAGTGGATGATGGCCTTTCTCTTTTTTTTTTTTCTTTGTTTGGTTATTCATGGTTAAATGTGAAATATAGCAGTAATGGATTTCGTCTATAGCTTTTGACTTAAGAATTGGAGGTGTTTATGTTCAATTTGCTTCAAGCTCATGAAGATTTAGCTCTATATGTCAAATTTCCATTTGATTAAATGGGAGTTGTATAAGAAAATCAAAGCTATGAAGTAGAATATAAGCTAAAACATTTGCATGCCAATTGTTATAAATATTTGCTCGATTTTGCTATGCTATCAATGTTGCACATATGATAAATGTTTTTTATTTTCTGCAAGTTATATCTTTTCATTGTGATGGTGTCATTTGCAAGTTATCAGTATTGGTTGTATAGACAATTGTGTTTCATAAAGCATTAGGCTTTCTTCAACCTAAAGACATTTACTCTGAGTTGTTTGATATGACTTATGTATGTTGTTGTCACATATATGCATTGTTGTGTTTGAACATTTTTTATACTTCAAATGGTATAAATTAGAGATCATCATGTAGCATGGGGGTCTGTGATGTGTGCAACTGTCATGCAAAGTGCAGGCGCACATATATGATCAAACTAAACAATATAGACTTGTCTTATTCTATATGTAGTGCATTTGAATTGATGTGTTTGTGTATTTCTTTTTAACTTGATAACAGAAATGGATAAGAAAAAAAAAGCAAAAAGAATGAGAAAACAGATAATAAAGGGAAAAATCTAATGCGGACAAATAAAATGGACAATTTCCTTGTGGACCAACTACTTAAACTATTGCATTTGGGGCGTAGAGTTGAAAATGGTTTCAGGCGTGAGGCGTATACTAAAATATGCAATGAGTTTAAGAAAGTAACTGGGATTGTTTTGACTTCGGAAAATATAAAAACTAGAATGAAGACATGGAAGCGACACTACGATTAAGTAAATGTTATGATGAGCAAAAGTGGCTTTGGTTGGGATGATAACTTACACAAGGTCACTGCTCCAAAGGAACTATAGAGTGAGTACCTAAAGGTATAATAGTTGTTATTCATGTATTTTAATTTTATCAATGTAAATATTATTTGTTTATAAATGTATGTATAGCTCAATGGCAGGATTATCCAAGAGCTAAGATGTATAGAACCAATATATACCCTTCTTTAGTTCTTTGCCCATTGTAGTTGGGGATGATAAGCCCGAAGGAAGATATGGTGTGGTTGGGACGGATTTGGAAGGCAATTGGCCCCCTATAGATGATATTGGATGTGACAGTGAGGGGCATGATGGTATATCCCGACAAGATACTACTTCATTAGCTTCAAAGAGAAAACAATCACAAACGAAGAAAAGTCGTGTGGGTGAGGCAATTGCTGCTTCTATTTCTGGATCCCGATTGCTTTTGGTAATGCAATGGAACATATGACTAAGAAAAGACAGAGTCCTAAATAATTAGGAATTCATGACAAAACTGAAGAGGGTTGAGGGACTTACATCCCATGATTATTTTAGATCAAGTAAATATCTTGTCGAATAGCTTGATATTGTAGCAATGTTCATAGATATGGAGGTGGAGTTACACAATGACTGGTTGCTCTTTCTACTGATGCTAGTGATTGATTTGTAATCTACTAAAAATACGTAAATGATAAATCAAATGGATTTATGAAAGTTGTACTGATTGTTGTGTTTGATACTTTTTTTTTTGGTAATAGGATATGGATAGTTACACACATCTTGATGGTCATGACTATTTTTGGATCGTGCTTGATTGTTATGGCTTTTTAAGGCCATGAATTTTGTGACTGTTATGGAATATTATCGAATATGATGGTTATAGATTGTATGAAAGTTATCAAATGTGATTTAGTTTTATACATTGCATGAATGTTATGAATGGTAGGGAATATGGTCATAAATGTTATAAATGCTAGGAAACGTGATGGCCATCATTATTAGGAAATATTTGATGGGTTTGTAAGGCAGGTGATGGTCATGAATATTGTAGAATAATTGTCTTGTTGAGTAATTATGCATATTATTAAATAATTGTGTTTTAATGAAATACCCATTTTTAATCAAAAAAACATTTTTTGTTAGATAATCATGATTTGTTAATAATGAATGGTAGGGAATATGATGGCCGTGAATGTTATGAATGGTAAATGTGATGGCTATCAATATTATGAACTATTTGATGGTTCTGTAAGGCAGGTGATAGTCATGAATATTGTAGAATGATTACGTCTTGTTGAGTAATTAGTAATTATGCATTAATAAATCATTATTAATAATTATCTTGGTTTATTAGTATTAATGTTTTCTAAAAATGTCATGTATTATTAAATAATTGAATAGTATTTTGTAATAACCATTTACCTCATAATCATGTTTCATTAAATTACTACCAATTTTCTTTTGTTCTTAACAAATTGAAAATATGTTTGATTGCCAAACAATACAAATGAAAATGATTGTAAAAAATCCATGAATTTTGTATAATTTATCCAAACGAGATTTGAAAAATCCATGACGAAAATCCTTAATAATGAGAATCCATAGATTTCAAATATCTAAGATTCTTAATTTCCTCCTATCGAAACGGGCCCTAAAGGGAATCAGCATTCTTTTTTTCAACAAAAAGGCATTCCACTATTGCTTCTAGTAATTGAATTTCTTTTTCTTTTCTTTTTTTGCTTTTTGGTTAGGGGCTTAAAATTGAGTAACAGAATTATAAATTACTGCAAAACAGTAGGTCAATGGAAATTTGGGACTTCATGGCCAGTACTTGACAATGGGAAATGCAGCTCATTCAACCCATGATTATCTTCTGAGGTTTAATCCAGGTTCCTCTCCTAGGATTGGAAGTTTTCCAATCGATTACTTATCCTGCATTATAGACTTCCCATCCTAAACTAACGATTCTACATTTCCTTTCGAAAGCATGACTATGATTATACCTTAACAGAAAAAAATAAAGCAATGGATAAAATCATACATCATCCATGCCCAGGTGAAACTCCACCACCCATCATTCAGTGAACGCCTCAGACTATGTGAACATATAATCATACATCCGCTGCACGTATGGCACAATAAGCTTTCAAAATATTGCTCAAGAAAATAGTTCTTCCAACAAATCAAACAAAGCAAGTTGCCCTACATTATTGAAATATCTTTTGAGAATGAAAAGAAACTAACACTTCGACAGCTAATTACAGAGACCTTACCGTCAAAAAGTTTGTGGAATTGGCACAAGAAACTACTTACAGCGTGCCAAGATATCCAAAGAGTTGAGACCCCACTAGTCCTCATATTCCGTTTCCTCGTCATCCTCATTCGCTTCTCCGTATTGCCAACCCTCCTCTTCACCATTGTCACGATCCTCTTCTGTCTCTTCACTATCTTCCTCATCAACAAAGCCTTTGCTGGTCCATGGCTTCGCTACTGGATTTGTGTTAAGAGTAACTGTGCCCATACCTTTCCTCTGTGTAGTTTTAGCAGCTGGGGCCTTTGAAGCCAACTTCACTTTACTTCGCTTTGAACTCTTTCCATTACCACTCTTCAATGCATTATATGCATCAGGGTCACTCCCTTCATCCGCTTCATTTTCAGCATCGACATTATGCTTTCCATTCTCTTCTGAATTATGGCCAGGGTGCTCTCTCTTGAGATGAAGATTGAGCTTGTATTCGTGAATGTAGGCCTTATCACAGCCTTCATATGGGCAGCTGTAGGGGCGATCAGAAGATGCAGAACCATAAACTAGAGCTGGAGTCTTGGGCGTGTTGTGAGGCTTCTCAGCCTGTGGAGTATGCTTAACATCGGTGGACAAGTTCTGCGTGATATTTAAAATCATACAACATAAACTATAAGCAGATGCTATTGCTACCAAAGATGAGATTAAATAGGAATAAGAAGAAGATATCGGCAGATTACTGCCGAGTAATTCCAACTCTGAGGCTATGGTTAGTCTGTATGTATTAAGAGTAGAGGGTGGAACCAGGAGTGCTTGTGCTTGAAAGTGATGACTGGAAGAGCCTTTGACCAGAAAACTCCCAATATCCTTTACTGAGATGGCAAATGTGCGCCACAACTGCCTGAGATAGAATTTTGATTTTCACTTAAACCCATAGATCCAGATCTTTAGAAAGGAAAGAAACCTAACTTCTGAAAGTTGCATGGAACAGTAGATTTTTGGTAAACCTTCTGCTTGGCAAACATGATGCAGGGATAGAAATGCGATTGAACATTGAAGCTGGCAGAAATATTTCTTCGGAAAACTATCAGATACAATAACATTATTTGCAATTTCTTCTGATATCCTAAAAGTGCTCCACAGAAGCAGTGTGGGCTTCACTGAAGCACTAGGGCTTGGATACTCAACAAGCAAAATCTCAAATGATTTGAATTAGAGTGACCGCTGCACTAACTCAGTTGAATTTATCCAGAAATAGGCATGACAGGAATAGCCTGCATTTTGATCCTATTGAATGGATCAAATGACATTATGGACCCATTTTGTATGGCTGACCTTCAAGAATTATTGGATGGATTGGTGCCAAGATCAAGTTGAACAGTGCGTAGCACTTGCTCATCAAAACATCAGGAAAATGAGAGAAATGATTAAAACATATAAAAATCTCATTTTGTCATCGTAGTATGACAGTGAAGTCCATTAGGCATTGAAGGATAACACTGTGAACATGAAGTCCATAATGTAACGAGGGGAATAACAAACTAACCTTTTCATGGTGCGATTTGATATGTGCTTTTAACTTGTACTCATGGGCATATCTCTTTCCACAGTCACCATAAGGACATATATGATAATTTTCTTGTGAGTGTGTCCGCATGTGCGCCCTCAAGTTAAAATCCAAGGAGAAGGCCTGCACATCCAAATAAATCTTCATGCATAAACACACAGATATTCCTAAGAAAAAACAAGCATTCAGCAGAATGAGCTGGATCACCCCCTAACAAAAGATACTTGAATTGATGAAAATGTGAGGTCTGTCTATCTAGCATAAAGAGGGTAAGAGTAACCCTTATAAAAAATAATCAGAGCAAGATAAAAAAAACTAAGCAAATATAAATAGTTTAAGATGCCAATAATTTCAATTTATTAGAAATCCATCCATTGTAAAAAGCTGATTTGGGTATCCACGACCATATAGCATCCAACATGTGAACATGGCTGTTCAGAAAAATCAGGCAAAGTGAGCATCAAAGCATCAGCATCAACATCCACAAATCTTACGCGAGGTTCTTGGAGTTTATTTTGCAAATGAAATTGAATTTCTTTGGGTGAAAAAAAATTTGTAATTGTACAATGCATTTAATATAAACCAGTTTCAAATTCAAAGTAAAATTGATTCTCTCCAACATGTTAGTTCTCAATCTTAATGGTCAAGACTAACTTTCTGATCATATATGCCCATTCAGGCTCATTCCCTCATGGAAAATCAAGAATAAATAGTTTAGCTTGCCACTGATTTGATGACAGGCATCAAACCCAGAACTAGCATTACCCACTGCTACCAAATAAAAGAAGAAACTACCATTGCCCAATTCAAACTCAGGTTTTAAGCTGATTTTGGCATTTCAAATCATAACTCACTTCCCAATTTTCTGTTATTCTGCATTGCATATTCATGCAAGACTAAATAGTTCCTGATGATACTCAACAGAATTGTTATACGTACATAATGAAAATACATTGTACATATTCTCCATGACACAGTAATAGTTAATATGGAATTCAGTCATCCAATTAGATAATACATGTCCGAATCTGGCACCATGTACTTGCTGTGTTTATGTCCTGAATTTGTATCTATATAATAGCACCATGTATAGTTTACTCTTGCTGTGTTTGGTCTTGCTGTCAAGGTTTTGCAGTCATTTACCCCAGAAGTGGCATAAAACGCCCAACATGTGAATAATGCTTGTCAGCAAAATCAGCCAAATCTAGCATCAAAGCATCAACCTCACTGTCCACAAATCTTTATGTGATCCAGACTTGCTTTGCAAGTGGGTTAATTGTCTTTGGGTGAATAAACATTGTTTCTATTTTACAATGCAAATCCCTATTTATAGATCAGTTTCAAAGCAATATTGATTCTCCAACAAGTTCGTTCTCAATCTTGAACTACAACAATTTGTGAACATATATAAATAATACAGGCCTATTCCCCCACAAGCAAACAAGATATGATAGTATTGTTCGTCACTGGTTTGCTAACCGGGATCAAGCATCCCAACCAGATTAGCATGTTTTATTTTTTTGGATGGTGTCATATCTTGGACCAGATCTCAGAAAGAAGAAAGAATAATGAGACTACCGTTGAGTACTTCAAACATGGCATCTAAAATGATTTTGGCATCTTCAAATCGTGACCTGACTCCCATTTTTCTGTTACACAGTGTATGTTCTGCATTGAATACTAATGCAAGGATCATATTTCCCGGGGATCTGCAAAAGAATTGTTATAGACACACAATGAAAATACTTTGTGAATGCTCTTCATGACAATGTATCATAGAGTTAATAAGAATTCGACAGTTCAATACCAGCTGATAAGTTAGATCATGTTTTATATTCAAATTTATATAAGATTATGATAGATGCTTCACTCTTACCGTGTTTGGTAAGGGTTTTGCTGTCATTTACCTAACAAAAAGTACTTACAAGTCACTTTCCTCTTACCTCAACAAAACACTCAATTTCCATCTAAGACTGGCTCAGAGCACCCTAATTACACAACCATTATCCCTTTTGCACTTTTAGATTGATCAACACTCAAACCTCTGGTCAAGACTGGGCAAGCCCGAGAAATAATCCAAAACAAAGAGGGCAAATGGCAGGGAACAAGGGCCCAGAATTGATGCCAAACTATCCAAACAACTTCCAGACCCTAATCTTTATCTTCTAGTTATCATTTCCATTTCATAAACCATATATAGACCTATTGCATCCTAAAGTATATTATCATTGATGGACGAAAATTGAAGAGGTATGATTTAGCACACCCACAAAAGAGAACTCCCCTGCTTTTACAATAATCAGGATTGCTGGCATGGATATATAAGTCTAAAAATCATGAAAGTCCAGAGTTCAATGCCTCACAGTACAATGCCGTAAAATGATAATCTAAAAATATATCCGAGTACAATGCCTCACAGCGATGCCTCAGAGCACAATGCCTCACAGCAATGCAGTAAAATGATAATCTAAAAAATGATGCATCTCAGAGTAAATGCCTCACAGCAATGCAGTAAAATGATAATATAAAAATATTTTGAAGTGGGTAGGATGATCACCTTACCGCAGCCTTCATGAGGACAGGTATAAGGCCTATCTCCTGTGTGAATAAGAAAATGTCTTTTAAGCTTTGAACTATCCAAGAATTTCTGCAAAAAGAAGCATAATTAGCCATCCAACATCATCAACATCATAGGCTAGAATTTTGAAAGTAAAACATAACCAAGCATGAATATCTATCCCTAAAAAAAGAAAAAAATAAATAAGGAAGTTAGGCACATAGATAAGATTAATCAACGCAAACAGTGCATGCTTGAAATCACCACATATCAATAAAAGTTAAGATCGACTACATGCTAGACAATTACGATACAAAGAGAGAACTAGGGTACCCAGTGACAGACACTTGCATGCATGAATACGGTGCAGGAAATGAATACAAGCCAATGGGTAAGTGTGCAGCCAGGTAAATAAACACCAGACCAAGCATACCCCAAGAAAGACAAGAATTTCTGCAAAAAGAAGCATAATTAGCCATCCAACATCATCAACATCATAGGCTAGAATTTTGAAAGTAAAACATAACCAAGCATGAATATCTATCCCTAAAAAAAGAAAAAAATAAATAAGGAATTTTAGGCACATAGATAAGATTAATCAATGCAAACAGTGCATGCTTGAAATCACCACATATCAATAAAAGGTAAGATCGACTACATGCTAGACAATTACGATAAAAAGAGAGAACTAGGGTACCCAGTGACAGACACTTGCATGCATGAATACGGTGCAGGAAATGAATACAAGCCAATGGGTAAGTGTGCAGCCAGGTAAATAAACACCAGACCAAGCATACCCCAAGAAAGAGTCCACAACATATAAATTTCCTTTTTTAAAAGAAAGAGCATTTTATAGGGAATTATGGTTAAATATAATTTTAAACTCCAATACAATCAGAAAGGCAGGCAACCAAACCATGTATACCACAAACACAAATACCATGTGGGACAAGTGAAGCTTATACATAAGAAATTTACCCGGCCACAACCATCATAATGACAAACATACTGCCTTTCTCCATGAATATGAGAATGCTTCCTTATAGCCCCAGCATCTACGAAAGTCTTCCCACACCCTTCATAAGTGCATAGGTAGAGCACTTCAGTCCTTGGTTCAGGCTCTGGTTCTACTGGTTCTGGCTCCTTATACCTCTCCTTCAATGCCTTTAATGTGTCCTCTAAACAAAACAAAGACAAACACAAAGCATTAAACTGACTGCTTAAAATTTCCATGGCAGATACTCTTCGATTAATGAACCCCTAAGATCATATGTCATCCAACGTAAAGTAATAGATTAAAATGATGAAACCTATGAATTAATTACAATAGTATTATAATAACGGACAGTATAATGGTATCGTTCACAATTATATGATACAGGAAGATTAACACAGAGTATAACCCTACTACCACATCACAAACTATAGGAATGAACAGTCTATGAAGGTAGCCAAGACATTTAACTGCAGCAGATTATAACTTTCCTTGTGCTAAGGTATCGGTGTATCTAATTTCAGAAGATATTTCTGGCTGACATCCTCATGCATATTGTAGCAGTGCGCACCACTCAATGCATTTGGAATTGAGACCGACACTCAAGAAAGTTCTTTTAGCAAGATTTTATCAAAGGAGATATCAAAAGTCAACATTATTAAAGTATCACAGGATCTTATTAGGGCTTCAAGATCTTCTATCAAACTTTCACCTCCTCTCATTGTTTTGCAGATCAACTTAGGTCACTCGGGCACAGAAACCAATATGAGCTCGAAAATTATCTGGATTTCAGTCACATGCAAAGGGAAAATTTGAGTGAGGAAACTCAAATAAATTACAAGTTGAGAGATTAGCAAATTCGAGAGTAGACTAGCCATACAAACATGAACAGAACAGAAATTCAGCCAAACCAAGCAACATGTATGACTTTAATACTCAACTTTGCCTGAGTCTTAGTACATAACAATCAGCATTATTTTTTACAAAGTAATGTACAACCATAAGCCATTTTCCGTGGTATTCTAGTGTTGCCAAATCTGATTATCATCAGCATGATTTGTTGGTTTTGTTTTGGATAGTGGCTCCAAGAGAAGCAAAGCTGGAAATCTATTGGGCTCTTTTGTAAGTCTCCTCCAAGAGTCTCACACGGACTGAAAAGAATTCTTCCAAACACTAATTGAAGTAAACTTCAGAGCCACTAGATGAACCATAGTACTACAAAATTCCAAAATTCACTATCCATAGAAACTTACAGTTTCTCTAGTTTCCATGTAAGGTACTTTATGGTATTACATTGGCACATTGGCACACCATCTCTTAGCTGCCTTGGTTGCTGCACCGTCAGTTCTCCCTGCCAAGCTAAACAAGAATACTATGTCTACGACTTCGAGTTCTATACAAAACTACTTTGTCTACGACTTCAAGTTCTGTAAAGTGATGCAACCTCTCCAATATTGGCACCATTATCCAATCCATCAGAAATGTGTGCTTTAGTCAGATCATGATGCCTTGTGATACCCTAACTCTCAGAAGAAGCTCAGTGAGTGCCGTGCAAGGTGGACTCCACAAGAGTTTTCTTTTGTCCTCAAGCATAAGTCTGGTGTAGAGAACCAAGTAGCAGGCACATTGAGCCTTAGAACTCTCGTATTGTATACCCATTTTCAAGTTACCTTAAGCAGTCATTCCCAGGTGACCAAGATTTTGGGGAGATCCATGAGACCCTTCGCCATAGATTACCGAGTCCTACCCCTCTTATGCTCTTCACCCTCTTATGCTCGTCACAGTGATACTCGGTTATGCATCCCAGGGGCTCCCAACAAAAGCAGATTGCATGGGAGTTGCATGCAGGTGGTTTTGGATGACATTTTGGTCAAGATAAGACAATTGCGGTTGTTGAAGACCACTTTCACCTAGCTTGAAGCATGATGCGAGGGACAGACACAGATTTCTAGCCTCTATAATGCAAGGCCAGTTCCTAAAGCACGATGGGAGAACTTGAGCATGGACTTTGTGCTAGGTCTATCCAAGACATCACTTTCACCTAGCTTGAAACATGATGCGAGGGACAGACACAGATTTCTAGCCTCTATAATCCAAGGCCAGTTCCTAAAGCACGATGGGAGAACTTGAGCATGGACTTTGTGCTAGGTCTATCCAAGACATGAAAAGGTCGCTACCCTATCTTTGTGGTCGTTGACCTTTTTCCTAGGAGGGCACATTTCCTACCATGTAAGAAGAAATTTGATGGAGTGGATGTTGCTGATCTTTTCTTCAGAGAGATAGTTCGCCTTCATGGACTGCCAAAGACCATACTCCCTGATTGAGATGCCAAGTTCGTGGGTTTATTCTTAAAGAATTTGATGAAATGCAAACAAAGCAGAAATATGAGTTTCAAACAGATGGCCAGGCTAAAGTCGTCAATAGAAGCATAGGTGATCTTTTAAGAGAGGATTACAGCATGGGTTTGAATTAGGCCATGTTTGCATACAATTGTTCAGTCAACCTGACTACTGAATGCTCAGCTTTCAAGTATTGCTTATGGGATTCAGCCAAGAGCCAATCAACCTCATTCGATTGCATGTGACATGCAGAGTTAGCAAGGATGCAGACAGTTTTTCAGACCATATTTGTAACATCCATGATGAGGTTTGTAGAGCAATGAGAAATATAAGACACAAGTGGATCTCCATAGAAGCCATGTTGTGTTCCAAGAGGGAAATATGGTAATTGTTCATGTAAAAAAAGAATGATTTCCAGCAATTAAATGTAATTCAATGCACCAGAAAACAAAAGGGCCCTAAATTACTCAAGAAGTGTGGTGATAACAATTATTTGCTAGAGCTACCACCTGACTTGCACATCAACCCCGTTTTCAACATAGAAGACCTCTTCCCCCTATTTTGGACATCAGGAGGAAACAAGTCTTGAAAAGTCAAAGACAAGCTTTCACACGTGTTGATGACTGACAATGTTATAGAAACCATACTTGATGATCAGATTGTCTCGATCCGAATTGGTGGCTATCAAAATTCCTAGTCAAGTGGAAAAGGAGACTAGATTCATATAGAGCTTGGATTACCGGCACCAACTTCCAGCCATAGTTGTTGGTGGTGGGAGCAGGATTGGTTCGGGATTCGCAGAACTGCCCTATAGTGGAAGCTCCCTGGGGTTAGGATTGGCATCCATACAATGAACAAAATAAGGAGCAAGATCCTTAGGTTTATGGGAGCGAGATCCGATGTCAATGGATTCGATGTTTTGACTAGCAGGAATCCATGCTCCACTATACAAAAAAATGAGGTTGTAAGCAGAGCTAGTACGAGTTCCCTTGGTTAAGGAATCGAGGATTAAGTATGCCACATAACGGGGTTCCTCCTGTTCTAATATAGAAATCAAGGTCCTCAGCAGATTGTGAACTGGATATACAGTTAACTCACAAGTGTAGCTCTTCTTGTGTGGGGAAAATTGATGGCACAGCACCTGAGGCAGCCAAGATATGTGGTGCCAAGGTGGGTCATAAAGGACACCACATGAAACTTTAGAGAAAAAATAAGCAGGGTGTAGGCCCTAGGAGGATCTCCTAGTAAACATCATGGTGCTACAATTAGATCAAGCTTTGTTTTTATAAATTCTTGAGTGGATTCCAGAACCAATAGGAATTTCTTTCTTTAATTATCTTCTAGTTGTGGTGGCCTCTAGAAACTAAAGTTCATTACTCTATGTGGATTAGAACCCCTTAGAACTATCTTCTAATACGAAGCCTTCTTGAATGCTTCAGAGTTCATATGTGTATAGTAGAATTTTGGCCCTACTATAAATAGATATACACACCATTGGTCATAGATTCAACTTTTGAATTTCAATTTTGGTGAGAGGGCACCTTTGGCACCTTTAGAGGAAAGATTCTTCACCTTTTTTCCGCAAGGAAAGTCCACAACTCTAGCTTAAGATTGGAAATCTCCCCTAGAAGTTGGAGACTGTTTCCTTGGTGCCTTCCCTTTAGAATGAGGCAACTAGCTCTTATTATAGTTTAGGAAATTAGGCCATTGCAAAATAGGTAAGATGCCCAATCTTCAAGAACTCCTCTAATAATTGGAAAATATCTTTCACTTGCAAATTTGAGAAGAAGAATGTCATATTGAAAACAGAAAATGACTCTTGACTTCCAAATTAAACTAAACCTTAACCTAATCAATTTTAAATCTCAGAGCTAAATATCTCAACAGACTTTTGCCCATGATTTGGAGCCCAAATGCCAAGTTAAGAAAAATCCATACACAGATGTCAAATATATTTTTTATTCGAGCTTTGGATGGTCTTAAATGGAGTTCGGGTGAAAAGTTATCACTCAAGAAAGTCGTATGCACCATTCTCACCCAACCAGAGAAAACGGATCCTCGAGTATTGAGGTAAGCGTGAACAAGTCCCACCTTGAATCATGTATTCTCTTCAATCATTTCCGGTGTTGGGCTCAACAATTAGAATTCGCTTCATTTGCATACTAATTCTTTCAAGAACAATTTCAGGAAAGGAACTGTTAGATGTGGAACTTAAGGGAGAACAAGATATATCTGAAAATTGTCGTTACAGAATGGCAGCAATCACTGACACTTATACATCAATATCTCACACACTACAAATCATTTTGAATCAAAGCTTTGTGTAACATCAACTAGACTCACGTTCCTTGCACCGCTCAAAATTTCATTGTAGTTTCAAGTACCATTGTCAAGAATACAAGTTCCATGTTTTCTACTGCTCCAAAACATTAACACAGTGAACAATCTCGAGTTTAGAGAGAAGGATTGACACCTTGTCTTGTTGGACAGCCTCATAAACCTTCAAGGATCTCAAACCCACACAGAGGCAGCAGAGCCTATCTGGACTTTAAGGTCAATACTTCCTCTCTATCAAGTGTTTAAATGAGTATGATGAACGAGAGTTCTCAAAGCAACTCCAGGATACAATCCTCCAGGCCTGAGTCCTTAAGCTAATAGAGTGGGTTCACCACACTATTATGTAACTTGTAGGAGGTGAGTTGTCTGGTCCTGGAGGAAAAAGACACGTGATCCTCCTCGCTCCTTCCAAGAGATATGTGACCTCACTTTGCTTAAGTGCAACGACATCTGTCCAGTATAACCTGCCTCTTGTCATACTACTAGTCAAGGACTTTCTTTACCAATG